GGCCGCGGAAGTGTGCGAAAGCGCTCCCGTGGCCCTGCCAATATGCGACGAGGGTGGAACACCATGGGGTTTTAGTCGGTGCGAGTCCGACATAACCCGAACTTGCCCCCGCGAGGCGGGTATGCGTAGGCATTTCCCCATGTAAAAAAAAAAAAAGGTTAGGTTAGGTTAGGTTAGGTTAGGTTTTTTTTTTATATACTGCAGCCCTCTGACGTGTTTATCAGAGACTTTTTATATCATTGTTATTTTAAATACTATTTTAATTTGGTTTTCAATATTTATATAATAATATAATAATTTAGATTGGTGCATTCTCTCTTCGTATACAAGGAAACACCAATAGCTTTCTTACCTAGGTAATTAATGCGTCTAAATACGTAATAAATATAAATAACACAAATCTTAATTTTTATTACATTTTATAACTCTATTTACAACACCCTCACAATATTCTATGAATTTATATTTAGTTTTCTTGCTAGCCAACAATATACTTAAATTATCTATTTTCAAATTCGTTTCTACCGTGTTCTCAAAGTTATGTCTATCAACTGCGAATCTAGGACATTTCAGGAGGATATGTAGGACCGTCTCCTTGACTCCTGGCCCACATGGACACGATGAATTCTCTTTGCACCGAAAACGGTAAAGATACTCAGAGAATCCACCATGTCCGGTCATGGCCTGGATCATCGTTGGGGACAGGTTTGTCTTTTTGATCAATTGGTATCCATCAACAATATCCGGCAGGAAAAGTTTCGTTGTTTTGCCTGTTTCTCCTTCTTTATACCTTTGGTTCCATCTATTTACGGTATCTTTACGAAGCAACTGTTTTACGTAGGAAACCGGGCACCGATCGTACGCTGGCTTCGTTTTTATTCGCAATGCTGCATGCTTCGCCAACTCGTCTGCACGTTCATTGCCAGCTAATCCTACATGGGCTTTGATCCAAAATAGTTGGATATATTTTTGCTGGTTCAAGATGGTCGTTATGTTATGTCGGGTCTGAACTGCGAGGGGGTGTTGGGAGTCTTGGTTCACAATACTCTCGAGTGCTGATCTCGAGTCGCTGTAAACTCCGAAACTTTCCTCATTGCTGTCGAGGACTCGCTCAGTTGCCTTGTATATGGCCAGCAATTCCGCCTGGTAAACGGTGCAATAATCTGATAGTTTGAGCTTTAGAGTTTGGATCTCGGCAGCACTATTCCATATGGATAATGCTGCTCCGACCTTGCCCTCTATTTTGCTTCCATCAGTGAATATACGCAGATTCTGGGTGTTATAGTGTCTCAAATCGTCCTCGTTTACCAGGCTGACGAACTCTAGGTCCATATATGACGATGGGTGAGGCAGTTCTGTAAATCTTACCCTTGTCTCCACGATTCGGTCTCCCAACACTGACTGGAGTTTTCCTCTCTTTGCCAAGAAAAGAGATGCTGCTTCTTGGATCCTTAGATCCAGAGGAAGCAGACCTGCCAGTGCTAGTGCCGAATGTAAGGAAACTGTACGGTAGGCCTTGATAATTTTTTGAGCGAATCCTCTCTGCACAGTGTTAAGGTGCTTTTGGACTCCCAACTTACTTGCAGCTGGTGCCCACACGCTCGCAGCGTACATAACAATCGGTTCAGTGACTGCCGTATATATCGTCCTTATTATCTGTGGTTGAAGGCCCCAACTGATCTTAGCAGCTCTCGACAGTTGTAAGTATAAAGCTGTTGCCTTCATGCACACATTTCTGACGTGGTTGGTAAATGTGAGCTTTCTGTCTACGGTGAGACCAAGCACCTTGATCTCCTCCGACATGCCAATGCCTATCCCGCCCATGCTCAGACGTGGTGAATCGTACTTCAGTTTGTTGGTTATGACCATTGCCTTGGTCTTTTGTGGCGCGAATTTGAGTTTGTTACGAATTCCCCACATCCGAACATGTTCGAGAGCGGCATTCGCACGTTCCTGGATTTCAAGGGCAGTGTCCCCCGCAAACAGTAGGACGATATCATCAGCGAACGCCTGGCATCTGTCACCTCTTGTGTCCAGCTCCTTGAGCAAGGGATCAAGAAGCAGGTTCCACAGCACTGGTCCTCCAATTGAACCTTGTATGCACCCTTTTGTGGTTTTCCGGGTTTGCTCCACTCCAGCATATCTCACTTTTACTTTTCTTTCCTGGAGATAACTATCTATTATCCTTCTTAAATTTATGGGACAATTTTCCTCAGCCAATCGGCATCGGATAACTGGCCACCAAGCGCTATCGAAGGCTCCGGTTAGGTTAGGTTAGGTTAGGTTAGGTTCCCGTGTGGAGTTGCCAGAGCTCCCATCGGGCGCGTCCCCAGGTGGCGGATAGGGGAACGCCACTCAGATATGGGTGGTAGCGGGAAACCGTCGCGGACCAAAACTGGCTGGGTGAGGGCTTTTTTGCATAGCGGAGGGCCTATTAGTTGCTTCCTGTATCCTCTCCCTTGAGAGGAACAGAGAATGTGACATGCGCGGTGAGGTGCCAGGTGCACTCGGCTTTTGCCGACGCCGGGCAACCCGTAATCGCGGGATTTTCAGGGACCACACCCTGTAAAAAAGGAAACTGAATGGGCTCAGTGTTCCCTAACCCGGTCTCTGGGCAGGCATGAGAAGAACCCGCATCGACTCTGCCACCATTCGAACCTCGGAATCCCTCTGGCGTGTCGTGGATCACGTCTCGCGGCGCCTTAGGGGCCGAGGGCTCTTGGCTTAACCGCCTGGAGTCGCGAGGATGATAACCTCTTTAAAAAATCACCCGAAGCTCAAGCGTGGCACGCCGTGAGGAGCTGCATGGCTGATGGGTAAATGTTCAGTCGTTAGCGTTGCCCCCGTCGGGGTACCGCCCGACACCCTTGACGGGTTACGCATAGGCTTATCCGGGCACAGGAGGCACTGCTCGGATGGACTGCTATTTCCTCCACACTCGTGGGAAAAAACATGGAAATATATAAAAACATTAAAAACGTAGAGGTAGAAAATCAGGCAGGATCTGATACTGGAAGCGGCGGAAATCGATCGCGTGGGACGTCTTCCGCTAGGAAACGTCCAGTGTGCCGATTGTCAGACGAGGAAGGTCTGCCGGCCCCCAAGTTGCCGACTTCGGGGAGGGGTCGGCAGGCATCTAGAGGGGCGAGTGCTTCGCAGCCGCGGAGAGATAAGCACGGACGGTTCGTGTGCTCCAATACCTCGGCGGCTAGTGAAGCAGATAGTGACATGGGGTTCACTACGGAGGACCCTGGCGATGGCGGTGAAAGCTGTGCCTCGCTGGGGAGCTCAAAGGCGGAGCTCAATGCCGCCAAGAGGGAGCAGCGCAAAGCCGTCGCGGCCGACGAAGTGTCGGAAATGGCCCGACGTGCTCGCGAGCGACGAGCTGCTCTTGCGGCGGAAGGGGGTGAGCCATCTGCGGTGGCCTTAAGCCAGCTGGCTCTGGATGGGGTGGACTTAGTCCTGAAGGTTGCCACCAAGTCCGGCAGCCTGAAGGGCACGTTCACCCGTGGCTTAAAGGAGGCTGCCGCGGATATCAGGGAGGCGGTTGGCATCCTCCTCAACAGGACGGCCTCTGACGAGGTCGCAAAGTTACAGGAGGAAAACAGCCGCCTCAGAAATGACTTGGAGGACCTCCGGCGGCAAGTTGCTGCGCTGAGCGAGCAGCAGCAGCAACGCACGTCCAGCGATGCCGCACCTGTAGTGGACCCGACTCCCGCACTGCGACCGGCAAGCCCTCGTACCGACGAAGAGGTCGAGCGCATTGTCCGGCTCTGCATGCTCCAGTGCGGGAGCATGGTTAACGCTCGGCTGGAGGCAATTTCTCGGCGTCTCCCGGTGGAAATCCTCCGTCCGCCTTTAGCGGCTGACACGCGGAGGACTGAAGAGCCGCCGAGACTTGCGCCTCAAAAGGGGAAGCCCGCGGAGGGTAACAAAAAGCCCGCGGAGGGAGCTCCTCCGAGCAACCAGCCCACGACTGCCGGGTCTAAGGGTGAGACCTGGGCGAAAGTCGTGGGCCGCAAGAAGGCCCGCAAAGCCGCCAAGAAGGCCGCAGCAGCCGCATGTGCCCCAGGGGGAACCGCAAAGACGGCTCCTAAACCTGCACAGCGGACTGCCAAAGGCGGTCGCAAGAGACCGGCTGTACATGTTCCGCGGTCCAACGCTGTGACAATAACGTTGCAGCCTGGAGCTGTGGAGCGTGGCGTGACGTACCAGTCGGTCATCGCCGAGGCCAAGGCCAAGATCAAATTATCTGATCTTGGCCTTCAGTCCGTCACCCTCAGGCAGGCTGCCACGGGTGCACGACTGTTCGAGGTGGCTGGCACTGTGAGCGGCAGTGCCGAAAAGGCGGACGCACTGGCCGCCAAGATGAGGGAGGTCCTCAACCCAGAGGACGTCCGGGTCTCCAGGCCAATGAAAACCGCAGAGGTGCGGATTGCTGGCCTGGACGACTCCGTGACCTCAGAGGAGGTGGTGGCGGCCGTTGCCAGAAGCGGAGAGTGTCCGCCGGACAAGGTGCGGGCTGGCGATATACGCACCGACGCCACCGGACTCGGCGCGGTCTGGGTTCGGTGCCCTGTAGCGTCGGCGAAGAAGATCGCCGATAGCGGCAGATTGCTGGTAGGCTGGGTGGCGGCAAGGACCAAGCTCTTACAGCCCCGGGCTTTGCAGTGCTTTCGGTGCCTGGAAAAAGGGCACGTCCGGGCGAAGTGCACCGCCGAGGTTGACCGTAGTGACCTCTGTTATCGCTGCGGCCAGCCTGGCCACAAGGCTGCCCTGTGCTCCGCGGCGCTCAACTGCAGCCTTTGTTCTGCTGCGGGAAGGCCAGCGGAGCACAGAGTAGGCGGAGGGGCTTGTGGGGCGCCTACCAGCAAGAAAAAGAAAAAGGAAAAGGAGAGGAGCACTAAGCCTGCCGGGGTAACCTCCCTGCCCTCGCAGGCTAGCAGCTCCGCGGCCGACTCCCGGCCCAGGACCGTTGCCGAGGGGATGGAATGTCAATAATGGCACAATTCCATTTTCTCCAGGGCAACATCAACCACTGTGCCAGAGCTCAGGATCTCCTACTCCAGAGCATGGCAGAGTGGTCGATTCACGTGGCTGTGGTCGCCGAACCGTACTTCATTCCAACCCGTGACAACTGGTTGGGATGCGCTGACGGTTTGGTGGCCATTATTGGCGAGACTCTGATCGACCCGTCTCGGGGCCGCGGCTGGGTTGCTGCGGTCTCGGGCGGCATCGTTATTGTAGGGGTGTATTTCTCCCCCAACAAGAGTCTCGCCGACTTTGAGGGTTTCCTTGTCGAGTTGGGCGCCGTCGTAGGCCGTTATCACCCTCGTCCCGTTCTGGTGCTCGGGGATCTCAACGCCAAGTCATCGGCGTGGGGATCTCCGGTCACTGACCCTCGGGGTGAGGTGCTAGAAGAGTGGACGGTGACGACTGGTCTGGTCGTCCTGAATCGGGGTTCGGAATACACGTGCGTGCGGCAGCGGGGTGGGTCGATAGTGGACGTCTCGTTTGCTAGCCCCTCTGTCGCCAGCCGAGTCCGCGACTGGCGTGTCGCCGTAGAGGTGGAGACACTGTCGGACCATCGATATATCCGGTTCGACGTCTCTGCCCAGACTGCGAGCGGCCGCCATCCAACAACCCCGATTAACGACGGCCCGCGTTGGGCGCTTAAGCGCATCGACAGGGAACTACTCGAGGAAGCTGCCCTAGTTCAGTCCTGGATCTGGGAGTCGACGACGGACGGCCCCGTCGACGTCGAAGCGGTGGCGTTATGGTTTCGCGGGGCGATGACGCAGATCTGCGACGCGTCAATGCCCCGTGTCCGCCAACGGTCCGCAAAGCGCCAGGTGTACTGGTGGACCGCCGAGATCGCGCAATTGCGCATAGCGTGCGTTGCGGCTCGTCGCCGGTACACCCGATACCGGAGGCGGCGTCGACGGGATTCCGCCGAGGAGGACGCGCTGTATGAGGTGTACCGCGCGTCTAAGGAGACTCTGAGGCTGGCCATCGGCGACTCAAAGTCGCGTGCCAGGGAGGAGCTGCTGGGGTCCCTAGATCGGGATCCGTGGGGGCGCCCCTACCGTTGGATTCGGGGCAAGTTGCGTCCCTGGGCGCCTCCACTAACACAAAGGATGCAACCCCAGTTGCTAGAGTCGGTGTTATCGACTCTCTTCCCTTAGCGAGTGGGACACGTTCCCCCGGCGATGGCTTCGCCCTCAGCCACAGACTCTCCAGAACAGGAGAGCACCGATGTCCCCGAGGTGACGCAAGCAGAGACGAGAGTGGCCGTGTCGCGACTCCGGGCTAAGAACACAGCGCCCGGACCCGACGGAGTTCCTGGTCGAGCTCTCGTCCTGGCTCTGAAGGAGCTAGAGCCCCAGCTGAGAGGGCTCTTCACGGCATGTCTCGAGCAGGGTCAATTTCCCAGTGTGTGGAAGGAGGGGAGGCTGGTCCTGCTCAGGAAGGAGGGGCGCCCCGCGGACTCACCGTCCGCGTACCGGCCCATAGTGCTGCTCGACGAGGCGGGCAAACTTTTTGAGCGTATCATCGCAGATCGCCTCGTCAGCCACTTGTGCAGAGAGGGGCCGGACCTGGATGACAACCAGTTTGGTTTTCGTCGCGGGCGCTCCACCATAGACGCTATTACGCGCGTGAGGGCCCTGGCGGAGGAGACAGTATCCCGGGGTGGGGTGGTGCTGGCGGTGTCCTTAGACATCTCCAACGCTTTCAACACCCTACCCTGGAGTTGCATTCGGGAGGCGCTGAATTACCATCGCGTGCCTCCCTACCTCCGCCGCACAATAGGGGCTTACCTTGAGGAGAGATGCGTTACCTATTGGGGACGTGACGGCGCTGGTCGGCGCGTCATGTCGTGCGGTGTTCCGCAGGGATCGGTCTTGGGACCTCTCCTGTGGAACATCGGCTACGACTGGGTGCTGAGAGGCGAACTCCCGAGGGTGTAGAGTATTGGGGTTTGTTAGACACTCAAGTGCGGATTGAGAATCACTTAAAATGTTTGCTTTCCTGAGTGTGTGTATACTTTGTATCATTTCTGTGGCTTTCAAAATTGCTACTAGTTCGGCTTGATACACACTACAGTGGTTTCCTAGTTTTAATTTAGTTTTGTGTATTTCCTGGCCTTCCTTCCAACAGGTAATGGCAGCGCCTACTCTGCCAGCAATTTTGCTGCCATCCGTATAAATACAAGGCCAGTCGTTTTCGATAGATTTTAATTCGTCTTCGGTTATGATTGAACTGTATGATACCTTATGTCGTTCTGCTGGGTGAGGTAGAGTGTATGGGCTAATAGGTTTCGCTAACTCCCTGCCTGGTAATTGCGAAAGTGGTTTCCCTCTTTTTATTTTATACAGTTCAGCATTCTCTTTTGCTCTTAAATCCAGGGGAAGAATTCTAGCTAAGGTGACACAGGAGACCATGGAGGCTGTACGGTGTGCTTTACTTATTAAGATGCTGAATGTCCTGGTTATTCTGTTGAGCCTAGTCTTTATTTGTTTTTTGTCTGCTACGGATCCCCAAGCCCCTGCGGCATAAAGGACTGTAGGTTCAACTACAGTAATGTAGATTGTCCTGAGAATTTCTGTGTTAAGTCCCCAGTTTGCTCTCGCTGTTCTTGCCACGTTTTTGTAAAGCTTGATCGCCTTTTCTGTAGCTCTATCTACATGTTTTATAAAGTTGAGATTGACATCTATTGTAAGTCCAAGGATCGTGATACTGTCGGTAAATTTTATTTCAATGTTGTCAAGTGTTATTTTTGGGTTCTCAAATTTTAACTTTTTAGTCACTATAATGGCCTGGGTTTTGTGTGCTGCCAGTTTCATTTTGCGCAGTTTCCCCCAGTTTAATATATGGTTCAGAATTGGATTTAGCTCTTTCTCTATCTCTTTTGCAGTTTTTCCTTTGGATACCAACATTATGTCGTCCGCATATGCCTGAATATGCGTTCCTTGCTCTTCAATTTCTCTTAGTAGTGGATATAGCTGTAAATTCCAGAGAAGTGGTCCACAAGTGGAGCCTTGTATGCATCCTTTGTTAGTTTGCTTAATAATTTCGTTACCTGCATAGCTAAGTTTTATGAACCTGTTTGAGAGATAGCTACTTATCAATCTGCAAATCGATTTGTCTACTTTTTTGTTTTCAAGTTCGTTGATCATGGCGGGCCACCAGGCGTTATCGAAGGCACCTTCGATATCTATGGAGACAACGACAACTATATCCTTGTTATTTATGCCCTGCTTTATAAATTCTAGCGCGTCGCATAGGGCGTCTTCGGTACCTCTCTGCGCAACGAACCCATACTGCCGGCCGCTCATTCTGTTTTCAGATCCCAACTGCCATGACATACGATTGACAAACAGCTTTTCCAAGACTTTTCCCAAAACGGGGAGAAGTCCTATAGGCCTATATGACTTAGGAAGGGTGTAGTTCTCTTTGTTTGCTTTGGGGATAACTCTAATGACTGCTCTTTTCCAGGCTCCTGGGAAGTATCCAAGTTTCAGGCATCTGTTGAAGATAGCTAGGAGAACCTGAGGGGTCGCCATGTAGGCTTTGAAGCAGATATCTGCGGTTAAGCCGTCCTCTCCCGGTGATTTCTTTGGACTCATGGTTTTGAAAATCAGTTGTACTTCAGTGTCTGTGAATTCTGTTATAGAGTATTTATTGTTAGTCCATTCTTTCTTATGTGCTTCGGCTTTACGTCTGACTTCTGCATGCATTTGTTCATCAGATTCAGTGTCGTCCATTGGGTAGAATGTATCCGATAAGAGCTCTGCTGATTCTACTGGGGTCATTATTGTACTATTTGGCGTCTTCCTTAACAAGGTATCTTCTGAGTTCTTGCTGGATTTACGAATGACCCTATAAATTCCCTGCCACATGCTCTCTCGGTCTTGTCTGCTGCAGAATTCCTTCCAACTTGACGTCATCGTTTCTGTAAGAAGATTTTTATATTCCGTTTTAGCCTGTGTATATTCGTCAATTATTATTTGTTTTCTGTTCCTATTTGCGAATCTGATTCTTCTCCTTTTCCGAATAACCTCTTTTTTCTTCTCGTCTAGTTCCTTAGTCCACCATGGTGTTTTTGCAGGTATCCTTTTAGGTAATTTAGGGATAGATTTATCGCAAGATTTTTGAATGCATTCAACGTACTGAGTGACTAGGTTCTCCAGGGTGTGTATGCTTGCTGTGTTTCTGACCTGTTCCTCTGTGACATTACATATTTCCAATTCCGCTTTCAGGGTGGAGGCAAAGTTTGTCCAGTTGGCCTTGCTTGTGTTGTATATACGTGTGGATCTTCGTTGACTGGCTTCTTCTGGTGTATTGACGAAATTTATACTGTATGTGATTGTTCTGTGGTCGGATAGTGTAACAAAATCTGGATTAACGGTCCAATTGGTTATTTTACGGAGTAGGCTGCTCGAGCACGCGGTTATATCTACGATGCTTGTGTAGTCTTTATTTGCTCTGCGCGCCCAGAAGGTTGGTGTTCTGCCCACGTTCAGTATGTGTAACTCGAGCTGAGCTAGTGCTTCCGAAATGGCTGTGCCCCGTCTATCCTCCACATCACAACCCCACCAGGGACTCTTTGCATTGATGTCCCCTCCTAGTATGACGTGCTTGGTATTTAGGATGTTCAGCTATTTTTCTTATGTCTTCCTCGACGTCTTGACATTCTTCCATGTAAGTGTTTACTATTGAAATTTCAAAATCCTTAATTTTAAATTTAAATGCAACAATGTTTTCCGTTATTGTTTCAGGATTAACAGTGTATTGTATATTTGGGTCAACGACAATGACAGCCGATTTGACAGGTTTCTGGGTGTCGCTGGTATGTTTTTGTATAACCTTATGTTTACAGTTGACGTGTGCTTTGGCCCCTACATAGGGTTCTTGAGTCAGAATGATTGACACTCCTTGAGATTCGGCCGCTTGCAAACATTCCTGGAGTGCTGCGTGCCCTCTCCCAAGGTTGATTTGTGCAATCTTTATTGTGCTGTCCTTTGCGCCTGATGTTCTGTGTGGAAGGGAATCGGTGTCTTTAGCAATATGTGACAGTTGATCTGGCTATCCGATCCCATTTCCTCCACTCTGGGCATTCAGGACTGTATGCAGGGTGAGCGCAATTAGTTTCGCTTTGGCTTTTGTCTGCACAATTTGTGCACTTGGGTGCTCGGTTTCTATTATAGCACTCCCTGGTGTCGTGTGCTTCGGCACAATAGCCACAATTCATTATTTGGGCTTTGCATTCCCATGCTCTATGAGAAAATCCCAGACATCGATAGCACTGAATTAGAGGTGATTGATCGATGGCTGGGACTACTTGAAAACCGATTCTGATCTTCTGATCTTTGAGTTTATCCCAGATTTGTGGGCTTACCTCCAAAACGACGTTGCTTGTGGAACTAGTGCGTCCTTTTGTTCTCCTAACTACTTTAACGTTTAGTTGTGACGTTGGTACATCGTGTAGGAGAGCTGTATTCTGTTTTATAATGGCTTCTTCAAGCTTCTTGTCTGTGAGGTCGAAGATCACGCCAATCAGTCGTAGAAGTGGGTTCTTTGTGGTCGGCCTGTAGGCAGTTAGATTGGCCGCTGTGCTCTTTAGTTTATCCTGAAGGATGTTTCTGTCCTTCTCGGACTCGCAACTAATGAGTACTTTTTGATTCTTTGCCTTTTTTATATTGCTAACGCCTATGCCTAGCTCGACCACATCGATCCCACCCTTAACCTGCTTGATAATGTCTTCACTCGTGCTTCTCGGGTCAATTGATTCCACCAGTATTGGGTAGTGTGGCTTTCTCAAGACTTTGGAGAAGGAGAGTGGGAGGGTTCTATATTTGTGCGTTGTCGAGTGATGTTTTTGTTCTTGGTCGGTAAGGTAGTGTCCTTATGACTGGGATTTATATTCTGCAAGATCCTCTTCCCCGATATGTGGCTGATTTTTCAGCTCTTTCCTGAGGCTTTCTATAGCCAATCGAATAGGGGCTACTGAATCTACTGTAATATCTCGCAGCTCTCTGTTTTCCCTTCTGAGTTCTTCTAAGTTTGCTTGAACCGAGGGAAACAGAGTGTTGGAGGAAGCGGTGGTTAGTTCTCTAATGTCTTTGGACATAGTCTTAATGTCTTGCCGTATTTCGGCTACCACCGCATTTAATTGCATTCTCAA